TACAGACTAATTTTGTGTAAATTCAGTTATTGAGTTAATTATTGGCTTGTGGAATATATATTTCAATAACTAATGTAACTTTTACATCTCCTTTCGACCAACAGGAAAGCATTGCCAGTGTTCAAGTGTCTGTACAAGAGGGTGATCTGGCATTAGATTTAACCCTTGAGAAGTGAGTATTTGTGTAGTGTGATAAGCATGTCAAAAGGACAATAATGGTAACTGTATATTCTCTTGAACAGAGTTAAAGTGAGTATGAACACCGAAACATTTAAGGTACAAATCAAAAAGAAGCCATTATTAAAAGTGTGTTTAAAAAGAAATACTAATAAATGAATCAAATTAAGTCTCACCTGAACAATGGTTCTAATCAACAGCTCACAAAAATCAATTTCCTGTTCATGACCATGCACGACATTGTGTTTCCCATTATGAAAGGTAAGAGTTTTTTGCTATAATGAATGATGATTTAGTTTTATAAGATGGGCATGTTATTTACTCATAATCTCATCAACCCTTCTCAGCTCACTTAGCGAAAGGGTTTCCACTTCCTGGTTTACTTGGATCCTTCATTGGGAAGGTACACGTTGTAAACCCTCATGTTGAGGTTCTTAATGTATGCTCACGTTTCCATGATTGTGACACTTTATAAATACTGTCAATATAGCATTTAATGAGATATGAGTGGCTCATATCATTTAGAGAGACCCTGTAACCATAAGTGCATTTTCAAATTGTCTCTTGCACAGGATTACGTGTTGATTGGAACAGATATTCAGTTCGGAGAAAACACCTCATCTTAACACCACTGAGGGAAAATATGTTTGTAAAGGCGATTTAAAGAGAAATCAAATGCATTTGCCTCAACAAAAATCATGTTTTGAAATTTGCACAAATAAATACACGGGGCAATATTTCCCCTATAACTGCATTCATTTGTTTCTTGTAGTTTATAAATGTATTCCTGTATGCAAACATTGGACAGTTCCCTATGGGATGAAATTAGTCTCAGATTTACTAATGAATGCGTGCACAATTATCCATGAACTTGATAAATGTCGCAAATGTATCTTACTATCCACAACCAAGGGTTTGTCAACTTGTGTCTATGAAATTCAGAATTACATGAATGTGCAGCACTTGGTACAAATAGAAACATATTTGTGAATACAGATGTTTTCTTTTGCATTAGTGTATCAGAATGTGCGCATGCAACAAGGCAGATGTGCATTTGTGGATCACGTGGCACGCGTGCATTCATTGCCATCTCTTCGGAGTCGATACTATTTGATTCATTTGGATTTTGAGACTTTCTTTTCACAGTTTTCAGCATTTCACAACCCACACACACAAACAACTACATTTTGGTCTTGTCTTATTTTGTCAAATGCATTTGAAATGTATTTTAACAGCAGCATTTTTTTCATACTTTTTCAGGTCAGAAAATGTGGAAATCTGTATAAACATAAAAAAGTCACATCCCTGCTTAAAGACCTGTTGTGACCCTAGTCTTAGTAAGA